TCGGGGCGGATGTGTGCTAACAGGTAAAAAAAAGGTCAAACATCTGAACAAAAACCGCTGGATGATGCAGAGTTGCAGAAGTGATTGAAAAATAAAAGAGCGGCCACAAATTTGAGCTCATCGGGGGGTTTTTATGGACTCATATCGGGTCAGTTAGGGAGTCAGACGGCTATCGGCTGGAGATTATTTCAGGGATTAAAGGACTAATGTGTCAAAGTGATCTTTATCTTTACGAAAATCAAAGGAGTAAGACCTGAAAAGCCCCTAAGAAGCTTTTAACTCCTTTGAAGCACATTTTTTTGCTGCTATTTCTGATAATATCTCAGATACTCTGCGAGTTTTAGCAGGTTTCACTGGTTAAACTAGTTTGATATCAGTTGAAGCACGTAGAACTAAAATGTCCACATTTTTTGCTGCCATTTGTGATAATTTGTGAGATACTCTGTGGGTGAGCATCTGGTAAAAGCGTTTTTTTAGCAGGTTTTACTCGATTAAGCTGGTCTGAGGAGCTGGAATCTCCTTTGAAGAACTAAAATTTCTACATTTTATGCTTTCGTTTGGATAATATTACTCTGCAGTTTTTTAGCAGGTTTTAATCAGTTAAGATGCTCCTTTGTAGGACTCAGAACTAAAAATGTCCACATTTTTTGCTGCCGTTTGGATAACATTTTAGATACTCTGCGTTTTTTTAGCAGGTTTTACTGGTTAGGCTGCTCCTTTGAAGCACTCAGAACTAAAATTTCCACATTTGTTTTCTACCATTTAGATAATATTTCAGATACTTTGTGGTTTTTTAGCAGGTTTTACTCAGTTAAGCTGCTCCTTTGAGGGACTCAGAGCTAACATTTCCACATTTTTCACATATTTAAGATACTCTGTGGCTGAGCATCTAGTAAAAACATTTTTTTTATCAGGATTTACTCAGTTAAGTTGGTCTGAGGAGCTGGAATCTCCTTTGAGGGACTCAGAACTAAAATTTCCATATTTTTTGCTGCCATACGGATAATATTTCAGACACTCTGTGTTTTTTTAGCAGGTTTTACTCAGTTAAGATAGTCTGAGGAGCTGGAATCTCCTTTGAAGAACTAAAATTTCCACATATTTTGCTGCCGTTTGGATAACATTTCGGTTTCTCTGCGGTTTCTATCAGGTTTTCCTCGGTTAAGGCTGGTCAGAGGAGCTGGAATCTCCTTTGATGAACTAAAATTTCCACATTTTTCCTCACCTGCCAGCGGGGGTCCGATCAGCAGGGTGACGCTCTCCATGACGGCGAGCAGCCCGAGGGCGGAGGGGAAGCGGCTCATCTCCACGATGTCCATGAGCACGGTGAACATCAGCGAGCCCACCACGCTCATGGAGAGCCCGTAGGTCACCACGTAGCCCAGCAGCACGCCGAACCCGGGCCCCAGGCAGCACACGGCGTTGCTGAGCCCGTTCACCAGCAGCGCGGCGGCGAACACGTACACGTGGCGCCCGCGGAAGCGCGGCGTGTTGAAGACCACGCCCACGGGGGGCCGCACCACGATGTTGACCACGCCCAGGATGGAGAGCAGCAGGGCGGCGCGGCCCGGCTCCATGCCGCCCGCCGTGGCGTAGGGCACCAGGTAGACCAGCGGCACCACGAAGCCCAGCATCATCCAGGTGATTCCCACCGCGAACGCCAGGTAGCGCCGGTTATGGCGGAGCAGGTCGAACGCCATGTGGCGGCCCGCGGACGCCATTAGGCGCCTCCACAGGGCCTTAATCCGGCCTTTTCCCGGATCCGGAGGTGGAGGAGAAGTCAGAGGAGGTCCGTGGTTCATCAGTGGGTGGCCGCCGTTGCCGTGGCGACGGTGCAGAGGCCGCATCACGGCGCCGCAAACGCAGCAGTTGAGCAGCACGGCGCCCAGCACCAGGAAGCTTCCCCTCCAGCCCAGTTCGGCGTGCAGGAAGTTGCCCAGGAAGGGCAGCGTGCACAGGCCCAGAGCCGTGCCCGTGGACGACATGGCGTTGGCGAAGGTCCGCCGCCGCACAAAGTAGTGCCCCATTATGGTCACCGCCGGCTGGAAGCTGAAGCAGAAGCCCAGGCCTGGGGGGGAGGAGGAGGAGGGAAAACTATTAGATATGCTGCAAAGAGGCCGAAGGAGTGGGTCAAAACTAGAGTTCTGCTCTTTTAGTTAGGGTTTCCACCCGATAAAGGCTCAAAAGTGCCTAAAAGGTGCATCTAAAAGTTTAAAATCTTTCTTTTTCCAATCTTTAGCAGTCTTAAACACATCAGTTACAAGGTATTTCCTCATTTAGGGGTAATGAAAGAATCAAAGATAGTTGAAAAAAAGCTGCCCGTCCTCCCCCGGCCCCGCGGCCCTTTGGAGGACGGCTGAGCGTTGCCGTGGCGACCGGCAGCGCGCTGACCTGTGATGACCCCCGCCGTGATGTAGAGCTCGGTGATGGAGCGCGTGAAGGAGCTGGCGGCCATCCCCACGCCGCTCAGCACGCCGCCGAACATCACGGTCGCCCGGCAACCGAACCTCTCCACCAGCACGCTGCAGAAGGGACCTGCGGGTCAAAGGTCAGGGGTCAGGGGTCAGGCTCTCAGCTCCACAGTAGGGGTGGGACGGTTCACAAAACCCACGGTTCGGTTCGATTCACGGTTTCGTGGTCACGGTTTTCGGGTTCGTTTCGGTATATGTTGATTGTTAGGTAAATCTATTATGTCTTGTATAGTCAGGTTAAAACTGAAAGAAAAAAGCAGTCTGACATTTGATACATTATTGTGACAGTCTTAGGTTAAAAGTAGGTGAGATTCTGGCATTGCAAGAGAGGAAACGGTGCTAATTCCAACATGTGCTTCCCTCTAAATGCAAAGTGGTCCCATACAGCAGAAAATATATAAACTGCTGTTGGCGGTCTGATTTTTATCGGCTACGCTGCCTCGCTTCTTCTTCTTGTTTGCTACTGGTGGTTGGCTTTGGGCGCAGTAGCGCCCCCTTCTGCTCTGGAGTGTAAACGCTTCCCTCTGAG